CCTAATTTAATGCTCATCCAAATCTCGGAACAGCTAGCTAAATGAACATACACTGCAGCAAGGACAGTGGAAAATATCACTGATATGAAGTGTTTGCAGGTCAAAGTCTTAACATCTTTAAATGACAAATCACTGCTTACATACCGTGAAGTACTGGCTAATACCTGTGGTCACATTCCAGAGCTAATAAGCCACCTACCACATGTGATCCTAAGGCACAACAAAATCTTGGGCTATGCTGTGAAGATGATGTGATTGACCTTCAGATCAGGAAAAGATAGTGGATTGGTCCCCTCCTTACCCCCCTTTAGTCCCTTGGTATAGTTGACCAGCTTGCTGAACTTTTGGGGTGGTTCAAAGTTGGCAAATTTTAGGGCATCTCCTTCTACACTAAATTTTTCAGGGAGATGGTTTGGCTCCAGAATCAGAGAAACACTGAGACAATATAAATCAATTAAACATCCCCACACAGTAACAGTAGGTAGACTCAGTTATCAACATTTAAGTCAGTTATAGGTCAAAACTTGTAGAAGCTCATGGCATATAGAAATTATTAACACCACCAAAATAGCTGGCTCTTTGACTAGGTACTTCTAGAAAACAGGCTTTTCTCAACTTCTAACTGTTCTCAACTTCTCAACTGTTCAGTGACTGCTACGTAAGTTTAACATCCTCGTCACAAGGATGATACTGACATCTAAGCTGGGACAAAAATTTTAAAACCACTAATCACAGGGGTTACTCATCCAAGAATAGGTTACTTCAGCTCCTTGATGTGGAGGCTACTTATCCATAGGACAGCAGTGTCCCCAAAACTACGCAAATACCCCCAAAAAGGAACAGGATGATAAAGAAAAAAGCTGAGTTACACTTCAAAGAAAAAAAGATTATTCAAGTCAAATGGATATCTTTACATTAAATCTGATGTCAAGATTCAATTAGAGGCAGTTTTTCCAGTGGCCTGCTTGGGCATCCTGCAGTAGTTACTGCATCTTTCCACAGAGCATCAAGTTCTGGCTGTTTCAGTCATACCCCACTGGTCAGACCCAGCCTGGCAGCCCTTCTATTCCTGTCTTCTAATGTGACTGACGCCAACAAGCTGGAGATAAAGAGGCTTCCTGGGAAGGAACGTAAGACTTGACTTTAATAGGTCACACTGCAGATCTCTGCAGCCGCTACTCTCTGTCAGGGGCCAAAAGTGAATGCCTGGGGAGGGGTTTAAGAGTAGAGCAAGCACGTACCGGTACTTTCTGAAAAGATCTCCCAGCCTCCAACAAGTTACAGCTCAGAGACTTCCTAAGCCAGACTTAGTATCTTTCTATTTAATATTAAACACCCTTAATAGGTTTCCCCTCCACAAACTTAAACAGTGTCTCTTGAACCCATATAAGCCTTTAACATCTGTAGCAACCTATGGCAAGAAGTTCTGTAGCTCAACTACTTATTGTGTGAAAACTACCTCCCTTATTTGTTCTGAATATGCCACCTGCTAGGCTCACTTCATGCCTCATGGTTTCTGTATTAGAAGACTAAACGTGCCAAGATTTAAATACAGATACCAAGAAATACTGTTAGTAAAGGTTCCCAGAGCACAGATTGCACAGAATATAGGCCACACGAGATGGATCCTCTGTGCTTGCTTGCAACCTCTGTTAAGAGTCCAGGTTAAACAGAGAAAACAAATACGCTGTCGCCAATGGTTTGTTATGTGCCCCCAGGCCAAGATAGATCAGGGGCCAGTGCTTTAACTACCTTGGAAACAAGAAGCCAACAAGATGACCACTCAGGGAATATCTTTAAGAAACATACTGACACACAAACAAACCTTATTGTCCAGATGTGAGCGAATATGAGAAAGAGGCTCTGTCTTCTCTAAATAAAGGTGCAGAGCTAAAAATAGAACTGGTCAGAAAACAGAATTTCCAACCCATGGAAAACGCCGATTTTTTTGACATTTGTTTTCATCTTGCATTGGGATGAGGAGTCAGAATCTTGAAATAGTTCAATTTGCAAACATCAGGATGAAACATTTCAATAACATCAACATGTTCTAGATGTCAAGACTTATTAAAATAATAAAAGAGTTGAAAGGAAATTAAATGAGATGAGAAAGGCAAAATGAAACAAAACAAGAAAGTTGAAACATAATACTTTTTTTCAATTTGCAATCATTTCAGAACTTTGCTTTCCAAAACTCCATTGAAGCTGACAAGCTCATGCAAAACATTTCCATTTCGATGAGACCACATTTTCCAGTGGAAAACTGTTTCTGAGAATTTTGACCAGTGCTAACCAAAGCTGCCCTGTTCTATACGTGACAACCTTTCACTAGACTTCTATTTGTACAGTCTAGAGAAGAGCTTGTCTCCAGTAGCAGTACATCCATGCAACGTGGTCAATCATGCATGCAAATATCTCTGAGGTTTATGCGGATGATGTGGTAAGATACATATCCTGCATTTGCCCTTGCCTGTAACTTCAGGTCCCAGGCTGTAGATGTGGATGAAAGCCAGTAGTCCCTGAGCACACACTTGAAAAAGCAGGGGTTAGTCACTCAAAGAAGGATGAATCGGGTACTGTGCTACACTTAAACTGGGTGTCTGACAGATGTTTCCTGCACAGGTAACAGCATCTTTGATCCCTGCCTCAATTCTTCCTCTTTCCCGGAAAGGCCATCAAATTTCTGCAAACTGTTTTGGTGAAGCGAGCATCCGCTGAAGGGAACTGCAGTTTACACAGAGCAGCGTAGAGCCTGCAGAGGGCTGGGGATGGCAACGGCAGGGAGTCGTTAAACAGAATCCAATGTTGATGAGGAAATTACACTTGTTTCATTAGTGATCGGGGGAAGGCGATAGCTCAGTTCCTCTTGGTCACAGTTGAGCTCAAAAGCTCATTATCCTGCTGCATGCATGCTTTCACTCCTCGTCAATAAACACTGTTTCCAGTGGCTGCCCTCCCTCCTCCCCAGCTCTCCATAGCTGGGGCTCTTTCTCCTCTACTTAACCCGTGCTTTAGAAACACTATGAACAGTTTAGGGTGACGACTCAGAAGAGGGCGAGAGAGAAGCTTTGAAATATCAGAACTACTTCTCTCCATGCAAAGAAGTGATGTTTATATGAGGCGTATCAAAGCAGAAATACTCATCTGGATAGGTTTTTTTCCTTCTTTGGGGGGCAAACTCATTTCAGTATATCCCACAGATAAGTCACTTCAGTAGAGATAAATCTGGACTATGCATTGCTTTCTGCCTTTGTAGCCTACCCCACAGTGCCTTGGTCACCTTAGCAGGTCTCACCTATTCCTTCCCAGCTAGCTGTCAGGATTTTCAGTGCAGAATGTTTCTAGATATGGAAACACGCTGAGTTATTATCATTAAAACAGTATTTAGCAAGGTCTGTCACACAAAATGAGGTTTTATGCTGAAATTAAAAACTACTGTGACTAAAATACCTTTGGATGGTGATTGTTTTTGATACATAGACGTTTTCATACTGACTACTTTAGTTATTACCCTGAGTGTCTTTAAAAAACCTGGCTGGACAGATTCTTCTCAAGTTTAAACCAGTGCAAATCCCCTGACTTCAACAGACTTCATTTCCACCATCTTGAGAATCTGTGGTTTTGGCTTTAACTCTCCGCTGAGGGGGGATTTGCAGTGATTACGATATAATTAATTGACATTTCTTTGGTAACTGTATCACAGGCATCCAGCGC